AGGTATTCAACAGGAGAGGTTTTTTTCTGTTGAGCCTGAGCAGTGTGGCCCCCCACAGTAAGTAGATCTAAGCTATGTCAACTTGAGTTTCACTACTAATGTAACCGGGGTGGCCCGTGCGTATAGGCCAACTCGGCTGTCGCCTAGGGTGCCGCGTTAAACGGGGCACCCAATGATGACGTCACGTCATTGAGGGCTGTGGAGGCGGGGGCACCGATCGTGCATTCCGCCTGGGGCGCCAGCTGCCGGCAGCCCGCCTCGGGCCGCCCCTGAATGTAACTCAAATAGCGTAGCTTAAATCAACCTCTCCTTGTAGGGTAAACTGCCCCGTAATGGAAACAGGCTGGCTATTTTCTGTGCATAGTGTCAGTATTTTTTTTCTCAGGCACTAGCACATGCTGCAGAGATTCAGGAATTAGCTTAATTGAAAAGAGAATGGGTATATTGCAAAATCCCAAATTTATTACGTGGATACTGATTGACAACTATTTCAGTCTTCAGACTCTCCTTAATTCCCATTCACTGAAGAGTGGACATAACAGCAGTTCAAGGAACAGAAGAGGCTACTAGCTGTTATGTCCATGAATAAATTGATCCTAATTCACAGGATTTCCTGTTCTACACCAACTCCTGAGCATTAAAGTTTATTAGCACCTTTGTGAATCTTCCCTGAAAAGATTTTTTCCAAATTATTTTCAGTTTAACTAGGAACCTTGGGTCATTTTGCTGTTTGGGGATCTTTTTTTTAATGTGAGGCTGCAGCCAAATCTTCTAGAGAAGAGGCAAAATGCAGTGAAACCCTTCCACACTCAGTTTTACCACCTCAATTTTAACAGCCCGCAATACTATTACAGTCACAGGTTTTACACACCATTCTGCAATTCATATTCATTCTGACCAGAGCTGCACTTTTAGGGTACGTCTGTGCTATGGATGGAGATCAACCCTTTGGAGGTTGAGCTTCTAGATTTAGCAGGTCTAGTGTAAACCCCCAAATTGAATGCTGAGGGCAGCCCCCGCTGGCATCCTGTACTCCTCATTCAGCATCCCGCAGCATAGACACTGCAGTGGCTTGGCTTAAAATAGGCTAAATCCAGCTACACAAAACGTACCTTAAGCAGACCTGCCTGGTGTAGTGTAGACCTAGGCTTATAGTCCCAGGCTCCCCACAGGTCAGAGGGTATCTTTGTTAGTGTGTCTTGTGGAGCAAAATAGGAGTTGCTGGCCCTGGGCCATTGTTTAGTCAGAAGTCTCTCTCCTCCCCCTTGTCAGTTTGTACCTAGCTTGCTGGGAGGTGGGTAAACGCTGGGCAATGGTGGGGCTCTTCTTTAGAAAGGTTCCTGGCCCAAAGGAAGGGTTGGTGTTTATGCTGTATCCTGTCCCTTCCGTGGAAGGGCCAGTTCCCAGTGCTGAGGAGCATCACAGTTGTCAGCCCAAAGTAGAGCTGGGTAAACTGAGGCAGAGAGTGGGGGGTGGATCCCAGTCTGGGTAAACTGAGGCAGAGAGTGGGGGGTGGATCCCAGTCTGGGTAAACTGAGGCAGAGAGTGGGGGGTGGATCCCAGTCTGGGTAAACTGAGGCAGAGAGTGGGGGGTGGATCCCAGTCTGGGTAAACTGAGGCAGAGAGTGGGGGGTGGATCCCAGTCTGGGTAAACTGAGGCAGAGAGTGGGGGGTGGATCCCAGTCTGGGTAAACTGAGGCAGAGAGTGGGGGGTGGATCCCAGTCTGGGTAAACTGAGGCAGAGAGTGGGGGGTGGATCCCAGTCTGGGTAAACTGAGGCAGAGAGTGGGGGGTGGATCCCAGTCTGGGTAAACTGAGGCAGAGAGTGGGGGGTGGATCCCAGTCTGGGTAAACTGAGGCAGAGAGTGGGGGGTGGATCCCAGTCTGGGTAAACTGAGGCAGAGAGTGGGGGGTGGATCCCAGTCTGGGTAAACTGAGGCAGAGAGTGGGGGGTGGATCCCAGTCTGGGTAAACTGAGGCAGAGAGTGGGGGGTGGATCCCAGGCTGGGTAAACTGAGGCAGAGAGTGGGGGGTGGATCCCAGGCTGGGTAAACTGAGGCAGAGAGTGGGGGGTGGATCCCAGGCTGGGTAAACTGAGGCAGAGAGTGGGGGGTGGATCCCAGGCTGGGTAAACTGAGGCAGAGAGTGGGGGGTGGATCCCAGGCTGGGTAAACTGAGGCAGAGAGTGGGGGGTGGATCCCAGGCTGGGTAAACTGAGGCAGAGAGTGGGGGGTGGATCCCAGGCTGGGTAAACTGAGGCAGAGAGTGGGGAGGGGGGTGGGTCCCAGGCTGGGTAAACTGAGGCAGAGAGGA